CACTTGGTAGCCCAGGCTGGCCTCGAACTCACAGAGATCCGCCTGCCTCTGCCTCCCGAGTGCTGGGATTAAAGGCGTGCGCCACCAACGCCCGGCTAAGAAAGAACTTTTTAAGTCCTAAGCCAATTTACAAAACACAAGTTACTTCTATATTGGTTTTCAGTTTTATTTTTAATTAAATACACTTAAGATCACAATAATTATTAATAAATGTATGTACAACATGATTTTTTTTCAGCTAAACAGATTATTATACCCATCATCCACATAATTTTACTCTTTAAAGTACAAGTATTAGGGCTGGAGAGATGGCTCAGTGGTTAAGAGCATTTGCTGCTCTTCCAGAGGACCCAGGTTCAAGTCCTAGCATCCACAGGGCAGCTCATGACCATAGCTACAGTCCCAAGGTATCCAATGCCCTCTGCTGGCATCCTAGGGCACTACATGCACATAGTACATGGATATACACATAGACAAAATACCCATACACATACAAATTAAAGGAACAAAAATCCCTAATACAAACATTTTCATGGCATCATTAAGATTTTTTTTTGGGGGGGGCGTTTCAAGACAGGGTTTCTCTATGTAGCCCTGGCTGTCCTAGAACTCTTATCTGTAGACCAGGCTAGCCTCGAACTCACAGAGATCTGCCTGTCTCTGCCTCCCAAGTGCTGGGATTAAAGGCATGTGCCACCACCACCACCACCTGGCTAAGATTTTTTAAATTTAATTATGTGTACATGTGTGGGTATGTGCACATGAGTTCAGGTATTCAAAGAGGCCAGAGGAGTCAGATGCCCCTGGGCTGGAGTTACATTTGGTTGTGAACACTCGATGTGGGTGGTGAGAATTGAACTTGGGTCCACTGGAAGAGCAGTATGTGATCTTAACTCTGGAGCCATCTCTCCAGCCCCATCTTCAAGAATGTTGTCGGTGGATCCCTTCCTTCCAGAAGTCAGTGTTACCTTCCTGTTAAATCGCCTCTCTTGCTTTCTTAGAGTCACCAGTTAGTTCAGAATCCCTCTAGAAATGTTTATTTATAATAATTTTAAATCTATAATGTGTGCAGTGGCATTTTCACCTTTAAGGCACTGTCTGAATGGAAATTCTGTTTAATTGTATGACTCCCTTTAGGAAACAGTCACTTGGAGAAGGAGATATATTCTGCAGTCTGCAGTCTTCCTGCGACTAGAGAGAGGCTGGAGGTGGCCAGTCGACAACCTCTGTGGCTTTAACAGTAGGAGAGAATTTGGCCAAGTATTCTAAGGGGAAACCTGTCCTGAGTGCCCTTGTAATGAGCAGCTTCAGGACAGTGTTGTTATGGAGTTTGTGACCCCCGGGAAAAGACTGTAGACTCAATCCAATTAGAGTTAAAAGATTTATTGATTAGCTGCTAGCAGGATGACAGCCTTAGAGCTGAATCTTGGACATGTCATGAAGGAAGGGCCTGAGGAAAGGTTTTTTTAAGGGCAAAACCACAAGAAGACCTTCAAGCAAACCAAAGCTGGTCTGTTCTGCCAAGTTTAAGTGGTTAAGGAGGAAACCATCTTTAGTTATCTGTGTAAGAAAGTTACAGAAACCAAAAAGGCAGTTAGTCATGTCATAACAAGTAGATGGTCACGGTTGGACATTTTGGGGTAGGGGTCACTAAGTCAAGGTTGCTGGGAATGTATCTTCTAGGGACTGGAGTCAGAGATGATTGGCTGGTGGGTACCAAGATGGATGCCTAACATAGAGTGCATTTCCATTAGCCATCACATTCCTACTGACTCTAGATCATATGGATCAAATCACATTTATGTAGAGCTAAAGGTTGATATCTTAATTATGTTGAATATATAGTATAATATGTATGTGTGTATGTGTGTGTGTGTGTGTGTGTGTGTGTAAGTAGCCAGTTTATGATACAAGGGCCAATACAAAACAAATTCCATGTATTTTTTTGTGTGTGTGTGCTTTTTTTATTGTTGTTTTGGTTTGCTTTTTGTTGTGTTTTTGATGTTTTTTTTTTTTTTTTAGAGAGAGAGAGAGAACATGAAATTGGGTGGATTGAGAGGAGGGGGAAGATCTGAAAGCAACTGGGAAAGGGGAAAGAATATGATCAAAATATATTTTATGAAAAAAATTTAAATAATACAGCATTTGCTGCTCTTTCAGAGGATCCTAGCACCCATATCAGGTGGTTTATAACCATCTGTAAGTCTAGCTCCCAAGGATCTATCACCCACTTCTGGTCTCCACAGGCATCTTCATGCATGTGTGTGTACACATGAAGACAGACATGCATACACATAAATGAAAAATGAAATAATTTTAAAAATATTTAAAAAAATAATTATGTTAACTTTATTCATAAATGAAAACCAAGTGATATAACTTACAGTGAAATTTGGTTCAAGGAAATGAATATTACTGTCTCTAATTAATGGTATAATGCATGATGCTTTAAGTTGGCTTCTACGTAATTTAAGCAGGCTGTGAGTCATAACACTTTTAGAGTTTCCTGCAGCGTGAAAGGTTGACACCCCAATCAGAAGTGAATGATTCACAACCAAACATATAATCACACAGTTTTAATTTAAATGAAAATGATACAAATGTATTATATAAAGTAAAAAAAAAACATAACATTAAAGAAAACTAAATTCTTTTTACATTTGTTTTTCAGTTTCTTTAAATACAAGAATATCATTAATTGCTATATTATGCTACTGCAACTTCATCATATTTTGTAATCATTGCTGTACACATTCATTGTTGATGTAGTGGAATTTGGATAGCTAAGTTAGCATATATTTGAATTTCATCTATAATTGTACAAACAACTGAGGTACAGTATGACATGATCATACATCCACACAACTTTGACATTTTGACAATGTCCACCCCTGTATTAACCTTTTCATACCTCATCATCCTTTTCCCCTTCTGCATCCTTAGTAGTCTTCTGTTACTTTACTGTCCTACACACACACACACACACACACACACAAAAAAAAAAAAAAAAACACCACACCTAAATTTCACACTTGAAATAAAACTTGTAATACATGTCTTTGTTGGTGTAGCTTATTTCACTTAACATAATGATCTCAATTTTTTTCTGTTTCATGCGAAAAATAAATAGCACAATGATTTCATTCTTCTTTCTGGAAAAATAAACTTTTATCATGCACATACATTGTATTTGTTACCAATTGATCTGTTGACAGGCACCCAGGCTGATTCTGTATCTTGAGTCCTGTGATTGATGCCACTGTAGACAGATGCAAGCAAGATTCTGTATCGTCAGCTTTTATTCCTTTTCATACACACCCTGAAGAGTCACAACTGTGTCTGCCAGTAGTTCTATATTCGTTTACTTACTATTCATTTAGTTCATTATATGAGTGTTGGTGTTTTGACTGTTTATGTTTGTGCAGCCTGGGCATGCAGTGCCCACAGAGGGAATAAGAGGGCATTGATCTCTTGGCACTGGCTGTGAGCCATCTTATAGGAGCTGGGAATTGGAAGTAGGTCCTCTGCAAGAGCAGCCAGTGCTCTTCACCAGGAAACCATAACGCCAGCTCTGGTTATTATCATATAATATGTAATTGTAATAAAATATATAGGGGTGTTCCATAGTAATTTGCATAGGAAACAAAGTACATTCCCCCAAGTATGTAGAAGGGACATTTTTTCTGCTTCCTCACCAACAAATGCTTTCATAGTTGTTTGTTCTAAATGGGAGAGATGGACTCTCAATGTAGCTCTGATTTGCATTTCCCTGGTGGCTAAGAATAGTGGACATTTCTTCCTGTATTTGCTGGCAGTTTCTACATCCTCACCTGAAAAGTTTCTCTTGTTTTGTGCATGTGTTTATTGGAATGTTTGTTCTTTGGGCATTTAAGTTTTTGAGTTATTTATATGCGCTGTGTCTCAATCCTCTGTTGAATATCTGGAAAATATTTCTCCCATTTTGCACATCTTCAGTTTGTCAATCACCTTCCTTCTGTGTGTGGGAGCTTTTAAATTTTGCACGATCTGGTTGGGTGACTCTTGCTGCTCTTTCCCGAGCTTTTCCGAGCCTATCCAGAACAGTGTTGTCTCTCCCTCTACACTGAAGCCTTCCCGCTGGTCCAATCTTACACTAGCATCTGTTCCATTTCCAGATGCTTTTTGTGTAGCGTGCATCACAGGGATCTCATCTTAGAGCTGTACATCTCCACTTTTCCCAGCACACCTGCTCCCTCTTTCCAATTGTGTGTTCCAGGCACTTTTGTTGAGCCTCAAACAGCTGTATTGCTCTGG